AACCTGGGGGGCGACCACTCCCTAAACAAAGGTTCCACTTCACTCTTAATGCTCTATACCCACTATTAATTCAGGAAAGGACTTGAAAATAACACAGTAAAATGTCTGTTAGCATCAAATGTAGATATACAGTTAGACTGTATGAATAAAATATATATTCGGTCAATTACTAAAACAATGCAGTAAATAAAAACAATGTGGTAACATATTTCAGGTGTACCACACGTGGATTGAAGAGGGAGGTGGCAATGGCCAAACAGAACGCATATGATGAGTTGTATGCCAGGTTAGACACGAGGGAAGGTGAGAAGGACTTGTACTAGCGAGACAGAGAGATAGAGATGGGAAGGATGTGCAACAGATAAGGGCAATTAAAGACAAAGATGGAAAGGTGCTAACAAGTGAGGAGAGTGTGCAGAGAAGATGGAAGGAGTATTTTGAAGAACTGATGAATGAGGAAAATGAGAGGGAAAGAAGGGGGGAAGAGGTGAATATTGTAGAGCAGGAAGTAGCAAAGATTAGAAAGGATGAGGTGAGGAAGGCTCTGAGGAGAATGAAGAGTGGAAAGGCTGTTGGTCCAGATGACATACCTGTAGAGGTGTGGAAGTGTCTAGGAGAGACAGCAGTGGAGTTTCTATCTAGTTTGTTCAACAGGATTTTAGAGAGTGAGAAGATGCCTGAGGAATGGAGGAGAAGTATACTAGTGCCGATCTTTACGAACAAGGGTGATGCCCTAGTTTTACTCTGCGCCTAAAGTTTGAACAGTTTCTCTGAACTGTTCAACTTATAAAAATGTTTATTACAGAATTTCAGTATACTTTATACTTTATACTGAATCTTATAGTCCTAAAGTAGTTTTTTTCTGGCAAAGCATTTAAAATCTTGTTAATTTTTTAAAATCAGTTTCACATGATTGTGTGTATTTTGTAAGATCACAAAAAAGAGACAAAACAGGTCATAGTTTGGTTTCTGCTTCAGATTTGTATGATCAAAGTAAAGCTTTCAGCCAACAGCTGGCCCGCTGCAGGAATGTTAAAAATAGAAAGAATTAAATTTAATTGATTTATCTCTTCTGGTTGGAGGTGCAATGTGTCAAGTAAAAGTATGTACACTCTTTGGAATGGATAAGTTTTCTGCATTAATTGGTTGTAAAGTGTGATGTGATCTGATCTGCTGATTATTCAAGATGCAGAGTCGCAGACATCACCGCAAGATCAGGATGCAGACGGGCAGCTGTGGCACAGGTAGAATACATGCTGAAACAGAAGGAGATCATCAGGAACAGGGGGGACAAAGACTCAGAAGCAGTCCCAAAAGCAGAGGACAGACCTGATCCAAGACGAGGTCCGATACCTAGAGGAGGAAGGGTGGAGGTCAAGCACTGTGGATTTTGAATAACAAGGAGCCTGGACAACGTGGGAGCTGCCAAAGGGAGGACCAAGTAGCCTGAGTTCTTTGGTATCTTGTTCTGATCGGTGTATGACACTCTCCTAACACCAACAAACCTGCACAGGTGAGGAATGAAGGAGGCCCACTGTGCACATTCTATGGAGAGAGGGGCATGTTGGTGCTCATACTGGCTGAATGTGAGATAGCACTTAGCCAGGGGAGATAGAGGCATGAAAAGCTTCTTAGAGCACTGGTTGACATCTTGGAGCAGAAGAGATGAAGAAGCATCAGACCCATGTGAGACCAGCCCCATCGATCCAGTTTGTCATAAAGGGGGAAAGGCTGCACTGCCCCAAACACAGCCTCCTGAGAGAGATGAAGGTGAACCTGGGAAGAAAACCGCACTCTCCCCCAGGTCGTCTAAACATTTTTGAGGCCTGACACTCATGTGGTCTGAGGAGGCAAAGGGGATCATCCTGATTGAGCTGACGGTCCTGTGGGATAACAGATGAGAAGAGGCCTTGCAGAGGACAGCCACCAAGAACCAGGACCTGGTCCAACAATGCAGAGATATAGGGTGGCAGGCCCGACTGTTTCTAGATGAGGCTGGCTGCAGGGGATTCCAGGCACAGATAGTGTGGAAGATGCTCACATCTCTGGGAATAACAGGAAGGAACAGAAACCTATCACTTCCTTACCCCCTCACCAATGCAGCCCCATGGGTCAAAACACAACAGGGAGTTGTGAATGGACCGTTACTTTGCTGTCACTCTCTGTCACACTGGCTGCTGCTCTAGTTCTGTTATGTACTGATACCACGAGACAGCATTTGCCCCGATGTGAAAGAGTCACTTTTTAATATCTTGAGATCTCGACACACTCCTAGTCATAAGAAGATGACTGAAGGTTTAGTATCTAGATGCATCTAATAACAGACAATGTGCCTAAGATAAGCACACAAACAAGTATCATTTTTATGTCTTTATTGAACCCAGTCATTAAACTTTCAGAGTGCTGGTGAAAAAGTAAGTGAACCCTTGAATTGAATAAGTGATCGAAGCTCCTCTGCCAGAAGTAATCTCAAACAAGCTTCCTGTAGCTCTGCATCAGACCTGCACAATGTTCACGAGGAATTTTGGATCATTCTTCCTCACAGAGCTGCTTTAGCTCAGACATGTTCATGGGATGTCTGGTGTGAACGGCGCTCTGGACTCATTCCACTGCACCTTTGTTGGGTTGAGGTCTGGGCTCTGACTAGGACACTCCAAAAGGTGGGTCTTCTTTGTCTGAACTCATTCTATGGTAGATTGACTTTGATGTTTTCAGTTTCTCGTGTCTTCGGTGTCTGGCTGCATCACTCGACTTCTGAGCTGCTGGACAAACACCCTGACATTATCCTGGAAGATTCCTTGATAAACTTGGGATTTCACTTCTAATT